ATAAATTTAACCATAGACACTATGACTATGTTAAGTATTTGTAAATAGTTATGGTTTTCTACACATGCATGTATAGTGCTAATAGTTTAATTATAATCATCTGTCTAGAATGTTTAGCTCAAGTTTATTTCTTGTAATCTTCTCTGCTGTTAGTCCACATTAATTTTTTTTAAAAGGTTCAAATGGATTTAGGCTTCCTGCAGGGTGCGTATCTGGCTGCACCTCCACAGGTCTTGGTTGGTAGCATTATTCTGTTGCATTCAACCATACTGCCGAATTGTGCAGGCTTCCGCTGTGACGTTCTATGTATTGGGGTACTTGGTCTTACCAATGAATGCATCAGGCCTAACCAAATATTGAAATACAGTATCATGTACAACAAAAGAACACAAGAGGTTGGTTATATGCTACCAACATGCCCATATGGACTCACAATGTAAAGTAGCTTCCAAGGAGACCAAATTCTAATTTCCTTCAACAGCCCATTTTATCTATGGCAACAAGCTATCTGTTAGCCAGACTATAAAAAAAGCCAACACAGTCGCGCAGTGGAAAAGGCTTAGGAAAAAGTAATTCTATTATTTGGTATGATTTTTTTAATGTCATTAGGTTTTATAAAGACAGCATTGCACAGTATGGAGGAGTGCTGGCTCGCATGTATGAAGGTAGTGTATTAGATGGGAAAGTGAATGGGACCTAGTGCCAGTCTGCCTCTTGCAAAGCCCAGGTCCTCCACTTCGTATGTGCGGCATCTTGCACAGTATGCCTGGTGTTCCAGTTGCTATGGTCACATGACACCCCCAAACTTCAGGGCTCATGATTCTATGTGTCAAATTTTTTCGGGACACTGCAGGGCCAGCTTGTCTCTTGTCTCACACATTCTGAACCATCCTCTGGACAGCTTAGAGACTAGTAGCTGGAGTCATCTTCAGATAACTCATTCACTCACAGTGGACTATTGTCTGAGACCTGAGCTGGGGTCGTTTGCTGGAACGGCTACCTATGTGGCCTGGATTCCTCACCACAGGGTGGCTAGTTCTGAGGGTGAATAACCCCAAAGCAGAAGGTATATGCTTTTTTTAATAAACTGCCTTTTAAAATAAAATAGCCTGGGAAGTCACTTCATTAATCATTTTCACTGTATCCTATTTGCTGGAGAAGCCAAAAGTCTATTCAGGTTAAAGGAAAGGAGGAATAGACTTTCCGTTTCCTGAAATGGAGTGACAAGGTTCTAGAAGAACCTGTGGCAATGAAAACATTTCTGTGGCCATTTTTGAAAAATATAATTTGCCTCACCTGACTTCTCTTTGCCTTATCTCCCCTTTTCTGTAAAATGAGGATAACAACTGAGACAATGCTATTGTCCCAGTCTTTCACATTGTGTGTATTTTTAAGTTAACATTCAAGTTCAGCCCTATTTCTAAATTCTTGTATGTATGTCACAAGGTGAAAAACAAAAATAGATGATATGTGCTCTATATTTTTGTCCAAAAGAATCCAAAAGAATCTAATTATTATTCCCTATTTCCCACTTGTCCAATGGGAGAGGGAAAGGAGAAAGGGAAGTGTGAGAAAAATAAAGTGAAAATGGAGAAAATGGAGGAAAAGTCCAAGATGAAATTCATGGCTTAAAGAATAAGAAAGGCCAATTGACAAAAAGTGGAGAATACTATTTGGATAACTTGACAGGGTTCTCAATCTGCCTTTATTTTTGGTGACAGAGGAAGAAGCCAGGTCTTTCTTTAGCAATGGCTTCTCAATACTTTTAGGACCATAGGCTAGCTAATTAGGTGACCTGAGAAAAATGCTGAGTGGTTTCAAGGGGTTCACAAAACTTGTAAAAGCCAATGACACACCCAGAGAAAGAAATCTTGCTAAGAGTCTAGACAAGGCGTTATATCCTTAGGCTAATGTTCAGTGTGAAAATGTATTGTGAGAACTCTCCTTGTATAATTAAGATCTTCATCTCTCAAGTAGCAGAGTATCAAATAATATAAATGTGCCTCATTTTAGTAGGTGGTTATCTTGCCAATAGGTTATTTCAACAGAAGTGGGCATATAAGCTGTATAGTTCTAAAGTGCTTAATATATGCATTTCCTAACTGGTATTCTGTTCTCCTTCGTTTATTTTCTGAAAACCTGTGCACCATGTCAGCTCTGCTTTGTGCAACATATCTTACAGGTGAAAAAATGTCTCAGCCCTCATGGAACCCATAATATAAAGTTTGTTTGACCATTTATAAACATAATTTTTACTTTCTAATAAAATGTTGGGAATAGCATGTTTCTTCTCTTTATGAAGCCATATTTCCAATGTTTTCATTTTGATAATCATTAATAATGGGATTTGAATAAATCTGGCTTTGAAAGAGTGTTATATTAAGACCTTTTGTGTGAATTTAATACCTATTGAAAAGAAATAAATGCAAAATATTTAGAATTCTACTTTCTAATTATATATTTGTGTGATTTTAACATAAATCTTTTCTACCAGTCCACAAATTCTTGAGGTTCACAATTGTACCTCAGAGCTTGTCATACATTAATTACTAAATAAAAAGCTATAAATAACTAACTGAATGAAAATGAGTGAATTAATGAAATAATATTTTAAATCAACTCAGAGTGCACTTATTTTAACCTACAGAGTGTAAATAAAGTTTTTCTTAATGGTTTGAGAAAGAAAATTTTTTCAAGTTGATGTTTAGCCAAGACCTTAAGTAGAAAGATTCTTTAGATAGGATTCAGCTGGGCTTGAATTTAACAGCACATGAAAGTCATCATTTTTCTTCTTTTACTAGTTTTTTCTTTATTCTCACCCTTTTATTATATCACCAACCCTGACTTTAGTGCCCTCATTAAATATCTTCTACCGCTATTATTTTATAAGATGTTTAACTCTAGTAATGGCAGCATTATTTCTCCTGGACATATTTCCACCAATAATGATGATTCCCTTGTTGTTTCACGTGCATGTTATAATACTATTGGTTAAAATTTAAAAAGAGTTGTGAGGTGGAACCACAGTTAAACATAAAATATATTCTCAGTGTCAGCAGAATACATTTATTTAAAAATCAAAAAAAAGAAAAAAAAACCTTAAACCGTATTGCATATCTGAAGGTCGCTTTCAGGAATAGAAAAATCCTTCTATATATTACTGGTAAATGGTAATGTATAATATCATGATTGATATAAAAATGTTTTGAAGATTCATTGGCATAACTGCGCAACTCAGTTTCTTTTTTTTTAATTGTGGCACATAAAACAATAAGAACTGATGTGATACAGAAATTGAAAGTATATTTATTTGAAAGTAAAACTGCATATTACACATTGAGCAAAGGAGAAAGTTTTGGGTATATCCCCAATTAAAATTCATTAAATGGGTTAAAGGAAGTACCACATAGCATTCCTCTCAAATTCAATACTTATAGTAGCCAGATAAGCCTTGAAAGAAACGTAATTGAGAAATAAAATACCACAGGTATCAGGGTAATGCTTATATTAAATCAAACAAAAACCAAAAAACTCAAAATTATTCCTCCTCCTGACTCCAGAACATTTATCAAAGTTTTAATTCAATCACTTGAGGATTATATTCTAATATTAGTGCTAGGATATCAAAAAGAACTGTAACCATCTTTTTTGAAAGTATTTCCACCAACTAAAATAGTCATAGATACTTGGTCTTCCTACTAAAAGATAATTCTATGGATTTTAGGCAAGTTTACTAGATAAAAGTTTCTGAAGTTTTAAATTATTGTACCAGAATTAGTACGAGGACATTTAAAATGGTTCTCAGTTCATCATTCTGGTTTTTTGAAAAACAGCTATGACATAGTATAAATCATTAGGGATCAATATGGATACCAGGCTTTCATGAGAAATTTGTTTGTTGACCTTAATAAATCTTCAATTGTATAAATATAGAAATATTTGTACAGGCAATTTTCTGCTGAATTACATTTTATCTATGCACATTCTAACACCACAGTATATGTTTTTTAACAACTTACACTAAAGGTTTGATGTAATGGCAATCACATTTTTTAAATTGCTTCACAATAGTTATTTTTGTATCTAGTTATTTAATCATCATTATCATTATCATGATTAATCTGCATTTAAGTGTTTTGAAAACTTTACTATAAATAATGTTGTAATGAATAAAGCTTTTTGCTTAGATTAAATTCCCATCAGAGGAATTACTAGAGTAACATTTTGAAAATACTTAAGGCTGTTGATAAATTCCATATTTTTTGAAAGAACCAAAGAAAAATTTCAGTGCTAGAAATGTAAAAGAAAAAATCAGCAACTAAACTGAATTCATACATCTAATTTAAAATGATAGGTAGTCCCCAGTTTGCCAGTGGGTAGTGTTACAAAAGTTATATTCTAAGTGGTTTGTATTAGATTTGACCTGAGGGTGTTAGAAAATTCTCAATTGCACACAGGAGAGTTAAGCTTTAATGTAGCTAAAGGATACTAGTAACAAATAATGGTTCTCCTGGAAGCTTCTGAATGTTGAGTTCCCTGCTCCTGTCTTTTTCTTTCTCTCTGTTTTGTTTTCTGTGAATGCCACCACTCTGAAACTTCTGGAAATCATATTCTAAGCACCCAAATGTCTTTGACCTATTTGATCAGTGGGGCTTCAAGGAAGAAAAAAAGGATGGGAAACTGGAAGAAGGCTCCTGGGCTGCTGAGTGGAGCCTTCCAGGACTGGGTACTTCCTAGAGCATAAGGAAGGAAGTCCTGAAAAGAGGGAAACAGAAGCTGGACAGACTCTGATAAATCAATGAAAAAAACCCCCAAAATATGCATAAAGACAGAAAATTATGAAATCCAATGAGCATATTGTTGTCAAGGAAACATCTTTTGGGTTTTACTATTTTTCTGCAGTATGTAATATAATACTTTTCAATAATTCAAATGATATAAAAATTCAAAAATAAATTTAAATGATTTTAATTAAATATATCTATATATTTATCTTCTAGAAAATGCAAGATGATTCACTAGAAGAAAATCGACGTTTAGCTCAAGAGTATCAGAAATTACAGGTGACTTTCTTAGCAGCAAAGGACCACTATTTCAATTTATATGATAGAGAGTTATCACTTGATGCTTCAATTAGAGATAAGAAACAGGTAGGTTTCTTATGTTTTAAAAAAATAAGTGTTTACTTGACCTATATCACATAAAAAGTAACAAGTGCTAAGTCATGGGGTTTTCAGTCTGAAGGTGGCCCTTTATACACCACCAAATGGCATGGGTTGGTTTGTTTTTGGTTTTGGTTTTTTTTGTAGAGTTTTGTTGGGTATTTTACCAACCTTTTAAAATTTAATTTTGAAAGGGTACTCAGGAAATAAATACTTAGTTTCTAATCCACCATTTTATACTAATTTGCTTTTAATTACTATGTCCTAGAATAACATATTTTTGTAGTTCATAGATTTTCATGTGTTATCATTTTAATTATCAATTATTATAGTTACTTTAAATATCAATTTTATCTATAGGTAACTTCCCATGAGACATCTCTAAATCTTCCTCATGATATATGGCCTTCAAATTTCAGTTTCTATTTTCTTTTAAATATGGGACTTAATTAGAAACTCAGAGAAATAGTTGACCCTCTCTGGTTGCTAGAAATCACTGGGAATTCTATTTTGTAAAATATTCTACAATAATGAAAGTGGAAGAATAAAACATACAATATATCACAATAAAAAGGGAAGAGAAAGCTTTATTACTAGACTGATAACATGTATTTACTTCCTCTGTATTCTTCTCTAGATTCTTATGGACAAGGAAAATTATTTTCCTTTGAGTCTTTGTTTCTCCCCAGAATTTAAATTAAAAAACTAGAGGCATGATTATTTTTAACAATTTATTTAGCCATAAGAACCTGTAGACTGCTAATGAATCCTTTGCCTTATTGTCATCCATAAAAGGAGAGACCCAAAAATATCCAGAACTTATTTATTTAAAAATTGTGCATTTATTCTCATGTTTAAATTTCAGTCACCTTCAAAGTACTCTCCAATTGATGCAATACATCTATTGAGACATTTTTTCCACTGCTCAAAACTTTTTTGAACTCGTCAATTTTGATGCCATTTTAGTGCTTCTGCCATTTTTTGTTTCACCTCTTCCACATCAGCAAAGCATTTCCCTTTGAGGACTTTTTACACCCACAGAAACAAAAAAAAAAGTTGCTCAGGGTGAGATTGGGTGAATGGGGTGTGGGCGGACATAGGTCGTACTGTTTTTGGTCAAAAAATACTGAACACTCAGCACAGCATGGGCAGGTGCACTTGTAAATCGCCCATCATGAAATGGCAAACGTGTTGAAAGAGTCTTCAAAAAAAAAGAAAACTTGCTGAAGCTGAAGCAGCCTCTCACAGCAACCCCAGCTGGTACACTATACAGATGGGTCCCTAGAACATTCACCTAGCCAGGGAAGTCTGTACTACAAGGGACCCACCCTCCAGAAGATAATTTCATTTTCTGAGAGGGATCCCCCTCATGTTATTGTACTATATGTAGTTTAAAATTCCACTACAATATTTATCCCTCATTTTTACGGACTATTGAGAAGACAGACAGTCAGGATTTGAACACAAGCTCTACTGACAATAGTCAGTGATCTTGGCAAGTAATTTACCTTTCCTGTGTTTTCTCATCTGTAAAATAAGATTTACCTCAGAGGAAAATTGATAATGAGTAACAAAGATACATCCACAGTTACTTTAAAAATAAAAGGGATACTGTACAACTATAAGGAACTATAAAATTCATCTAGTAGGCTGCTTATAAACAGTCCCTATGCTTCTCATCCCTGGACTATTACTGCAGGTTAATGCTTCCAAATATATTAGGAAAAAGAATGGGCATTTTTCTTTTAAAAATTTGTATTGAGCAGTAGCAAGATGAAGGTAGATCAATAAGTAAATGTGTTTGGGAAAGAATAGAGAATACAATTCTTTATATAAAAATCTTAGTGTCCTCAAACCATTGTGCAGCACTCAAGGATAGGGTATATCCATGGAGCATTTGTCTAATCACTTCATGCATTTGACATTGTTATTGAGGTTAAACATGTTCTATTTGTTGCCAAGAACTAAGGAGGAGAAAATCAGTGGCTTATACTGTTTTTTTTTTCCCCTAACCAATAGGAAGAGTAAAAAATTACCTACACTTGTTATCAGTTTGTATAGAATCCTTTGATGGGATATAAATGTTAAATACCTGTATAAATGGTAAACAAACAAACAAACTAATGCCTTTAAGAGAAATTTCTAACATAGTATTTACATAGTAAGAACAAAATTGTCTTGATGTTATTTTTGGATTTAAAGCAAACCTTGATTCAAGATCCAAGGAGTGAGACCCTCGTTTGAACACAGAGCAGGGCATGCTAGGAGGTTGGGTTTATGTTTGTGATGATCCCTTGAACGAAGCACTTTTAGCACACCTGTTTCAGGGAAACTTTCAAAGATTTATTTGTACTTCCAATCATTTTTCATTTCCATCCTTCAGCGATGGAGGTCATTAAGTGCAGGCTGCCCTTGTCAGTGTCATGTAGGATCAATTTGCTGCAATGGACAGAGAGGCCTTATTGATGCTGTTAAATCTGTCAGTGAGAAATCGTATGTCATTAGCGCCTAATGCACTGCTTACAGGGTGGAATTTGGCCATCAAAACTGCAAAAACCCTTTGGTGGTTTAGTGCATTTCTTGGATACTGATATATTTCCCATATATGTAGGTTTTAATCTTTTGACCAACTTAGTTTTAGGTGCACAAAAGTACTATTCAACCCTGATTCCCTTGACAGATAAAGTGGATCTCACCTTTAGAAATTTTTGTGTATCTTTTTCCTATTTTATAATAACTTCAATGCTTTTGCATATGCATTCCTTTTGGCATGATAAATAATTATATTTTAAGTACTATGCTTCTTAGGGAGTATTATTCTCTATACAAAAAATATATATTTTTCATATTTCTGTGTTTTTTATGCTAAGAGCAGCAAAGAAAATGTAATAGAGGAGTAAAACAAATTAAATATAACAAATAAGAATGTTCCCTTCCTTAACACAATTTTATATGCAGGTGCCTCAAATGTTAGAATGTCATAGTATTACTCTTGGTGATAAAATGGCATCTGCTCCTTTTGCATGTGCTTCTTGATAGTTTCCTGTACTTTTAAAATTTGCTGTAATGGATATCTCCCACTTTAAAAATCAGAAATAAACAAAAATAATTATTCAAAATTATTTCCATGTTTGTGGGCAATGAAGAAAAATATCTGAAAAACAGGTTTTACTTCTATATGAAAATAGATATTTTCATCAAAACTTTCAAATAGATATATTTTTTTAAAAATCCATGAATACATTGATAAAGTCACATGTTTATTATAATTGCTGTTTCAAGTTCTTCAGGCCTGCAAAGGAAGGTAAGCTAAGCACGTTGATTTCTTCTGTTGGCTGAAAGCAAGATCTCTCCAAAACTGGTTAAAATATATTTAATTTTTTTGTAAAGGACTTGTAAAACTTTGCTTTGCCTACTCCAATTCTCAGTGCTTTTAAATTAAGAGAATGCAAATTATTACAGAATCAGTCAGAGCTTCACAATCCTGTATGTGAACAGGTATCTGTGTTATGTAGTTTGCAAACATTATCTTTTTAATACCCCTCAGTTATCCTGGAAAATGTTCTATTATTATTATTATTATTATTATCATTATTATTATTATCATCATCATTTCCAATATAAGATATGCAACTAGACTGAGTGTCATAGGTCACCCAAGCAGAGGCAGACTGACTGATATGGGAAGTATCTCATTGTATTGCTCATTAACTAGCATATACTAAAATTAGGCTTTGAGTGGTGATTTTTGTGTACTTGTTTCAGTGTAAATAGAAATTTATTTATTTTTGCTAGGAAAACCATACTTTTAAAAATGGTTTTTGCCTACAGCAGCTGCTTAAAGACTCTGTCAGTATCTCTGCCTCCCTTCCTTAGGGCACAGGTGTGTGCGTACGCACACAGACACATACGCACGCTTGTTCTAAAGGAGTTGCCGCACTTCATAGACTCATAAGCTTGCATTAAATTCTTACTGTTCCTGTCCTCTGAAGAACTCTCAAGAGATCTCAGAAGAGCTTTTGTAATCTCTGAGGCAGGAGTAGGGAGCTGGTCATCTATTGTGTTACCTCAGTGAATCTCCATTCTGTTTTCTAAGCTCTAAGCGTTTACTTCTATCTAATGCTCTAAAAATGTCGGTTCCATTTTTCAGTGAATTGTAGACGTATGTATTTTTATGCAGCTTTGAGATGACCTGTTGAAGACGTGTAGCAATAATCAGCTTTTTAATGTTAACAACATAACAACACCTTAGAAGTGATGTGTAGAGTGTGATGAGATCCCTGATATATTAAAGACTTCCAAGATAAAATTTTCATATATATGTAAATAAATTGTAAAAAATGTGTGTATATAATTTTGATAAAGAAATAAAAGTGTTCTTTATATTACCTGTAAAGTTCTAGAAAAACTTGGAATATTTTCAAGTAAATAAACTATGTTCTATGGAATCCATTCTGATTCAGAACCCTGACTTTTCTTAATGCCGTACTGCAGCTATAAAATGAAATAATAGTTTTTATCACTCAAAAGCCATTTAAAAATTACAATAAAACAAGTAAAATGTTCATTGTATGCACCTTGTATAATAGGTATATTTTCTACTTAGGCTTGTCTAATGCATGACTTACAACTGCAATTGATTTGCAATTCTGTGGAAGCATCAGTATAATGATTTTTTTTTTTAGTTTTGAACTACACATATGCATCACAGTGACATAAACATTTGAGAAAACTGCTCTTGTAATCACCTTTCCCTTAATCTACAGAGCTGTGTCTTATAATCATTTACTAACATAAATATTAATATGGAAAATGCATACTAATATGCTAAATGTTTTCTTTAGGTCATTTGTTCTTCCTTCAGAGTTTTATTCTTATTGAAAGTGAGGAAGAATATCTATGGGCAACTTATTTAATCCCTCCAAGCTTCTGAAAAAATGGGAGTATTAAAGTCTCTTTACCAAGATTGTTGTAAATATATATATAGT